GCTGCGGTGCGCAGTCAGGTGGCAGAGCAGGCCGAACCCCGGCCGCCCCCGATCGTTCGCAAAACGGCCGCGGTGTTTGCCGAGCAGAAGGACCAGGTGGATGGCTTGGCAAAGACACCCGAGAAGGACCAGATGGACGGCTTGGCAGAGACACCCCCTGCTCCGCGGAAGCCTGCTGGGAAACGACAAGTTGCATCTTGGACTGAAGCTGTGGGTCGACTGGCATGAGCTTGCTTGGGTAATCATGTTCATGCAAGTTTGTTGTTCACATGTTGGCTCAGGCTGATGCGCCAGAGGCACTGCCTCAGCTACCACCAGAGAAGATGGCGAAATACGACAGCTGGTGGAAGCAGTGGGGGAGAAGCTCATCGCGGGACAGCGATGCCACGATGGCCAGCTCTGCGACCGAGAGTCTCGATGGAGCCGATGTCATGCATACGGTGCAGCAGATGGCTCCCGGACCTTTGAAATCGGCTTTGATGGAAGTCTTGATGCAGAAAGAGCCTGTGCCAGCAGAGGTGCAGCCCCGCCCGGAGCCCGTGCAATCGGTTCAAGCACCTGGTGTGCCGATTCAAGCACCTGCTGCGCCGGCGCAAGCACCAGCTGCACCGAAGTGGCCAGTGTCGCCGGATGCAGAGCCAGTGTCGAACAGGAGTGCTTCAACAAGCGGGTGGGGATGTAACTCTTCGACACATATGGCGGAGTGGAAGTGCTTCTCCCGCTTCTGCTTGAATAATCATGATCAGTGCAGTTCATTGTACAAGGCATGGAAGAGACTCGTTTGCAGCCAAGCACGTATTCTCATGTGTGAACTCATGTCACCTAACCCTGTGATCTGTGCCAATGAGGAGTGGAGGCGACGACAGGCTCGAAGCATTCCAAAAATGGGTGCTCAGCGGGGGCAACGGCAAGGCCGTTGAAGCGACGATAAGAATGCAGCGGAGCTGCGAAGAGGCCCACAACGACGGGGGACGCTACAAGCCGTGGGCTTCGATCGTCGAACACTTCAAGGGCGACACCGACGAAGCTTTGGTGTTCGCCCAGAAGAGGAGGCAGGAGGAACGTGGAACCTCGACATGCCGAAACACTGGTGTCGAGACGTTCTTGCTGTTCGACGAGGAGTCCATCAACTGGACAACCAAAAAGCTCGTTTCCTGATCTGCAGTTTGATTGTCAGTGTAGTTGTCCTATATATTGCTGTTGTTGTTGTGCCACTCCTTCCATTGGTCGATCGTTGTGATTAATGCCAAGGACCAGATCACGGTTGAAGTGGGAGCCGACCTCGAGATTGCGACCCGATTGGCAAAGATGATGGAGAAACAACCGCACCTCTTCAAGAAGCAGGATGGCAAGCCACGTGATGGCCCGGATCCGGTCACCAACGATGCAACGGACAGTCCATCGGATGCCAAGACCAAGCCGACAACCAAAGCAAAGGGGAAGGCAAAAGCCAAGCCCAAAGCGAAGGCCGGTATGTGTCGGATTTCAGTTTGATTAATTAAGTGCCATGATATTTCTGCCCATGCGTGAGCCAGGTTGACAAGCAGATCCACACGGAGCTGCCGACGATGGACCTGGCCGGCTTGGCTGTCTTCAAGGATGCTGTTGTCGTCAGGGTTTGCGTGCGTTGAGTGTAATCGACCATGGCTCCATGAAGGAGTCCTGGACCAAAGCGGTATCCGATGCTCAAGGGCATGCTACGACCATGGTATGCGAGTTCCTAAACTGCATAGACCGCGGGTGGACTTTCAATTTTTTTGTGATGGTTTGCATGCACAACATGAACCGAGGCTGGAAAACTTCGAGTCGCAGGAGAAGCTGTGCGAACTCATTAACCAGGCGAAGGAGGGGCTCTCCATGGCGAGGAAGGACAGCCCGCGAGTTGTTTTCGTGTTCCGTGCTCTGCAGTTATGTGTATAGTCTGTATATGTATGTGCGTGTATATGCAGGATATGATGGCCGTTGATGTGTCGAGCGAGAACTGTCGCTCGTTGATGGATCAGATTCTTATGGCCGCAAAGCCGTACGTGCAAGCCTACCTGAAGCACACGCGGACGGGGAACAATCTGACTCTTGCCTGCAATCGCAGTTGACGCAAACCAAGATCAGTGTTTGTGTGTGTGTGTGTCATGTGACGTTGCACGAGGATCGGTGCCGCGAAACGCGAGAACGAGAAGAAGAATAAGAAGGCTAAGGACGCTAAGGACGCACCGGCTGCAGGTGAGGACGGTGATCAGTTGCCAAAGCAGTGAGCTTCGCAGCTTCGTGAGCCGGGTTCGGCCTTGGTGGGATGCGATGCACATGCTTAGCACCCATATATGATCATATATATGTAGGATCCGAGCATGCACTTGGCTTTAGCTTTGGCAATATGTGTAAACCCTAGCTAGCAAGGTGCTTTGCATGCTAGGGCATCATCGATCCCAAGCAACACTGTGCAAATGTGCATGGCACGAGTGTTTTCTCCTTGTGCAATGGTT